GGCAGCGCCTGCTCGGGTCCCCCCCCCCGGCCGGGCCGTGCACGTCCTCACCGGCCGCGTCCCCCGCACGGGCACACGGCAGCCCAGGACTCCCCCGGCCGCGTCCCCCGCACGACGGCATCGGCCACCCCTGCGCTGCGCTCTCGCCTGGGCCACAACAACTCCCTTCCTCCGTCCTTTCATCACGCCGCCGTCCCCCGTCGTCTGCGCGCAGGTCGCTCCCATCCCCGTCTTGCAGGCGCAGCGCCGTGACTCCCTCACCCGGTGCCGGTGCCGCCTGGCCTGCGTCAGCACCGTCTCCCCCCCGCTGCGGAAACCTTTTCAGCTCCTACCATCTCGGACTTGTCGGGTTTCAAACCTCAGCTAAAACACCACCGACGTTGCAGACACCTCTTCCCGCCTTTCCAAAAACAAAACCAGAAATACTTTGCAACTGCATCATCCGATTCTGCAAAGCAGTTGGGAGTACAGATCTTTCTGTCTAGCGAGCGCCTGTCTTGCCAAGCCACGCAACAGCTGCCTCGCTGGCAGCGCGCAGCGGCGTCGGGCTGCCCTCAAGCCTCGGAGGGCACTCGCCCACGACCGCACCGACATCTGCACGGGTCCGTGCCCCGGCTGGCAGTCCCGCTGGCCCCCCTGGGACGGCTGGCTGCACGCTGCCCTGGAGGAAACGGGGATGGGGGCATTAGGCTGTGTTTGCTTTGGACCAGCAAGCATCTGCAGCACGAGGCAGAGAACGGGCCCGGCCTCAGAGCCAGGTTGATAGTGCAGCGGATGCCGGAGATGCCCCTAGTTCAACCCCCAGCTACAGCGTTGGGCACCGTCACTCACGGGCTAAGGAAGAAGAATTCCCTCCGCTGCCCGAAGCCGACGGCCTGTGTCATGCTGAAGGTCAGCTGATACCATCGGAACAGTCTCTTCATGCCATACGCTTAATCAGCGATGAGACTCAGCTCTCCAGCGGCTAACGAGAGTGAAAACTAGAACCTTACATTTGTCTTTAGCCAGCTAATCCAACCCAAACCGCAGGGGAAGCAGGTCTGCTGAGCATTCATACTCCTGCCTGGCAGGGGAGCCCACCCACCTGAGGGCAGCCAGGGAAAAGCCCGAGCGCGGCTCGCACAGGGTGCGAGTTTCTGAAGACACAGAAAGGGGCCCGTCGCCGTCACGGCCCTGCAGCGACCGGAGCAGCGCGCTCCCAGGAGGATGCAGCCGGACACGCTTTGTGGGGCTGTGACCAAGGAGAGGAAAGGCTTCGTAGCTGCTGCACGGCTCAGAGACTGCGCGCGGGGAGGACAGCCGTCCCCTCCCCGGTCTCCAACCGTGCCGCTTCAGCTCCCACAGGCTCCGCGGGTGACCTCCTTTTGACACAGGTGCAGATAAGCGAGAGGCTAGTTAGTTAGGACAGATAGTGACAGGGCTCTGGCTTGTCGTTCTGGAAACTCAACTCCACATGATCAGGTGTCAGCACGCTGGAAAGCACCCAGATTTCCTGCCAGGCTGGATACCAAGGAGGGATGCGCTGTCCGCCCGTGGAGAACCGGTGCTGCAAGCACCCCTCTGCCGGGAGCTGCCGACCCACCCCGGCACGAATTAGGGCAATGATTAGTGGAGTGATGCAGCTCGAGTAATAGGGCTTTAGTTTGAACATGTTCCCACTTAGCTTACACATTTTCTCCTCGAGCAGATGTCACGCTGCATGTTGCTAGGCGATTGACAGCTGGGGAGTAATTAAGTCTGATTAAATCCCACCATATTGCCCTGCTGCTTTTCCAGAACTCTCTGGAGCTTTTTGGTTCAAAGTGACCAAGCGAAAGGGAGGAATTATAAATGAGCCCTGGCCGACAGAACCAGATCTGCACAGCGCGCGGTGCCTTCCAACAGCCAAACGGCCCCCAATCCTGCAGGTTTCTCCTCTTTGCTAACCGAGCGAGGGTTACCTCCCCAGTATTCGCATCAGCTGCCAGACGTGTGCAAACCACTGTAGATCCCCGCCCTGTTCGGAGGCCACACTGCTCCCCTTGCAGCTCCTGTGTCACAGAAACTCTCTAATACACCCACGGGGCTCCTGCCCTCTGAACTGTGCGCTAACAAGTCAGATTGATATTCATACATTTTGTATTTGATGTTAACAACCCGGCACCTTCTGCCCGGGCATTGGCAATCTACCTCCACAACTCAAGACGAACGTGGAGTAATTGCACGGGCAGCTCTTAGCCAGCTAATCTGTTCAAGCACATGCTAGCATTTTTTATTTGTCCCTCCCCTTTACCCACTTATCTGTCCTGCCCAACTGCTACGTCTTATCTTTTAGACCGTAAGCTCCTTGGGCGGTCTCGCTGCGCTGTGTCTGTACAGCACCGGGTACATCAGGGCCACAGGGCTGGGGCTGTGACGAATTGCAGCAAGAGAAACACTAGATAACAGCAGCGACCGTTCTGCATAAATCACAAGTTTTGCTGGGCAGTACTTAAACGAAAAATGCTTCCATTCCCCAGGTGTCACCTGTGCAGTTGAGTACCCCATTGCCCCTCCAGGATAATATGAGGACCCTGAACAAGCCACCCACAGACTGGTGTTGTCTGCCAGGCCCTGCTTCCCAAAGTCCTTCACAGACCGCGATGGTAAGGCCAGCAGGGACCAAGGGACCACCTCGTCTGAGCGCTGCTACGTCACATCCAGCATCAGCTGGCTGCTCCGTATTGATCCTGAGCAACGTCCTCCAGAAAAGCACCGGCGCTTAGTTAGAGGGCACCCAGAGAAGGCAAGTCCACCACTTCCCTGAGTACTTTGCTCCTATGGTCTGTCACCCCTGTACTGTACTAGAAATCTGCGCCCCATTTCCCACCTCAATTTGCCTGGCTTCCACCACCAGCTACTGGTTCTTGGTGCATTTTTCATGGCTGGAGTAAAGGACTCGCATGTCCCTACTGTTTGCCCCCCTGCCCCACTCCCACCGCCCCCACTTTAAGGTACTTGTAAGTGTAGCAGTGTAATTTAGTTTATCAACAAGACAGAGGTGAATAAACTGGCTTGAGATTATTCAGCAAGCTCTCAACATCTGCAGCATCCTTTTGAGATGTGGACGCCAGAGCTGGATGGAGTCTCCTGGTATCGGTCTTGCCAGTGCCGTACGCAGAGATGGAGCCACCCCCTGCCTCTCCTCAGGGCCGCCCAGGGATGACACTAGCCCCCTTTCACACCGCGTGTTCTTTGCAGCCCTGCTCCAGACTCTTTCCAAGGCCCCGTTCCCAGGTCGGTCTCCTCCACAGCAGTCCCGCTTGCATGCATTCCTTTCACAAAATGAATAGCTTTGCGCTTGTCTATTAAAACCACATTTTCTTGGTAGGAACCCAAACTTACTGACCAGTCTGGACTGCTTGGTAGGACTGTCCTGGCCTCTACACACATCACCACAAGTCTCTCATCCACTCAACAGCAGTGAATTTCCAATTACTTTGAGATGACTGATGAAAACAGGATTGAAGAATACAAGGGGCAAGGGTTCTTGCGACATCTTGTATTGGACCAGCTGTATAATCAGGAGAGATGCTGGACAAGCTTTCAGGGACAATGTGCCCTTCTTGCATAGCTGGCCCAGTCAAAGATATCACAAGAAAACCACCCAAGATATGTTGATTAATTTTTCAGCCTGGCTGTGTCGGAAACAATCACCGCACTGTGGAAGTTGGCAGTTGTGCAAAAGAGAAGTGAGCACGGCCTGGTCTGCATATACTGAGGAGCGTGTGCATCTGTCATACGTTTCCTGGGCCATGGCGGCTGCCACAGTCCAACCCTACCTACTGCGCAACGCGAGTCCTGAAACAGCCTTGCAGTGTTCCCTACAAAAACTCCATGCACACTTGCTTGAGGTCTCAGCAAGACAGGTTGGGCCCCTTTTGACATGTGCCTTCTTGACACAGGGAAACACGAATTGATTTCGTGTGGGACGGCCACGCAGTGCAGTTTCACACCTTAGCACCAGCTGCAGTATGTGACAACTCCGGGGCTGCCCCTTTCCATCCAAACCTGCTGAAAAATGAAGTCAGGCTGCCCTGACTAATTCTGCTCTCCATAAAACCACGCGGCTGAGC